TTTTTTACAGATCTAGATTATTTGTATGCAGTCTGTGGTTCCTTACCTCTCACTCACAGATGCACTCTGACTTTCAAGGAAACACCCCTAATTAGTCATCTCCTACAGCATGCTTGTTGAGGGGGGGGGGGGGGGGGGGGGGGGGGGGGGGGGAGTATGTGTATGGAAGTGGTGATATGTGTATCTGTGTGATAGTGGTGATATGTGTATCTGTATGACAGTGGTGATGATATGTGTATCTGTGTGACAATAGTGATGATATGTCTCTCTATGTTATGAGTTACAACATGGAAATGGCCTAAATGTGGCTACATTTACTTCTCTCACAGTGACTGCACAGACCAGCATCCGACCATAAATATTGAAACAGCCCCAGAACCGTTGTAACCAAACAGCAACTTTGTAATGACTTCTAAACCTGTCTAAGGATCAATACACACATAAATACAGTCAATCACACACACACACTCTCACAAATAAACTTAACAAAACAAAAAATAAAAATCATGTTGACAACCCAGTCGGTTAAAACCCAGTCAAACCTAACCAGCTTTAACGTCATATCCACCAACAGTGGCAGGGCCTGACAAACTTACAACAAATAGATAACGTGCCACTGCCACACACTAACATCTTGTCTACCAACAGTGGCAGGGCCTTGATAAACTTGTGAAAATCGCACTTAACCTACCACATCTAGATCTATACACCTTGCCATGCTGGCTTAAAAGGTGAGGAGTGAGCGGACCAAGTGACAAACAATGCACCAATTCATGCCGGAAGAAGCGTGGACGATGCAGATATCATTAATGCTGTATGGACTAGGCTAGTGCATAATGACGAATCTCTGACATTAACATGACCACGTGACCTAGGAGTAAAGGATATTAAAGGTCGTCTACGATACCTTCAAGGCCGAGATATGAAACATTATAACCAACTCCTCAAGGGAACATTCAATACAGGTGCCTTGGAGTGGCTGCTGCATCAGAGGACTGAGCACATATGCCCTTACACAGTGACATCGATTGTGATAACATGCAAAGCTCATGCCCTCGAACAAAGCCAGAGTTCAGAAATTGACGAATAAACAGGATTTTCTGCCGGAGTTTACAAAAAAAAATATTTATATATGCATTCAATCCTTGGTAATGCTCAGAATGTTTTAACAAACTCTAGCCTTTCACAACATGGCAACGGTGAGATCAAGCAACATTTATCCCTCTTTGTGCATTACATGATCATTGCCGCTGCATGCTCATAAGTTCTCCGATCTTCTCCTGAGCACGTGTTTTAGCACGTGTACACTGATGACTTCTGCTGTAGTGGTTGTGAGCTCTTTGATGGTTTTCACGTCACACTGATGACTTGTGCTGTAGTGGTTGTGAGCTCTTTGATGGTTTTCACGTCACACTGATGACTTCTGCTGTAGTGGTTGTGAGCTCTTTGATGGTTTTCACGTCACACTGATGACTTCTGCTGTAGTGGTTGTGAGCTCTTTGATGGTTTTCACGTCACACTGATGACTTCTGCTGTAGTGGTTGTGAGCTCTTTGATGGTTTTCACAGCACACTGATGACTTCTGCTGTAGTGGTTGTGAGCTCTTTGATGGTTTTCACAGCACACTGATGACTTCTGCTGTAGTGGTTGTGAGCTCTTTGATGGTTTTCACGTCACACTGATGACTTCTGCTGTAGTGGTTGTGAGCTCTTTGATGGTTTTCACGTCACACTGATCCAGATAGTATATCTAGACATTACACCTGAGAACTTTCTCAGCATTCTGAACCTATACACATACAAAAACATGTTCAGCTCACACCGATATGATAAATATGGTACATACAGATGAAACAACAACATAAATACAAGCATATTTTCGCAGGGACTAAATATACACGCCTTCTATAAAACAAGGAACTAAATATGCACACCTTCTATAAAACAAATATACGGTCAGATATCTCCCGCATATTCTGACCAAAAATAAAAAGTATAATCAGAAATGACATGTTGAGTGACAAATGTGGCACGTAAACTGGTACACAAAATTTATCCAATAACACATGTTAAACTGCTTTGGAGTTTTAGAAACAGAAAAATCTAAATATGTGAATGGTTACAAATCTAATATCGCTGTACAACTATACACAAGATCAATGAGGAAAAACTGCTTGCGGCAAAAATACAACAATTGCCAATCCAACCTTCTGGCTTCTATTTTAAAATTATAATTTTACATCTTAAAAATATCAACAGAGTTAGCGTCAGAAGTTTTCACTTTCCATCAAGCCCTTTGCCAACTGCCACTAACACAGTCAAATATTTGTAGTCATAATCTCTGATCAACCCAGAGAACCAATCCTAAAGAAACCACTGACAAAATAAACATTAAAAACCCTAGTGACACCAGTGGCACATTGGACATATGATGCCAGATTTCTACAGCCCAATCAGCTCTGGACAGGTAAACAGTATGTCGGCCACTTGACTTCAAAGAACACTGCCTGGTACTCATTTTAGGCCAAGTAGGACCTGGGAGCCAAGGTGAACCCCAATCGGTGAAGATCTGAACCCAAGACATTTGGATGGCAGGCGAGAGTCTAGGAACTAAGCTACAGCAGCATCCACCAATGAAAAGCTTGAATTAAATTTGCAGCTACTGAGCAGCACATATGCAGGCATAAGAAAAAGAAAAAGTTACAGCAGGCAACAGACAAATTTAATGACATACACACCTTAAAATAAATTTTACGTCCAAGTAACAAGAATGTCTTGCTGAATGATCAAGTGTACTTAAACTTGTGACAAGCTAGGCACCACAAAAAGAAACAGAGGCACGCTTGTCAGTTAAGAGATGACAAATGTGTGCACAACCGCCATTATTTTTGTCACTTTCTAGCAGATCTTTGGGTTTCTATTTTCCCCTGTGCCTCGCACGAATGTTAGTCAATGCTTGGGAATTTAGTGTTCTAGAAATAAAGATCTGAGGACATGACAGACCCGAGTAAACTACAGACATATGTGCAGCAATCTCAGCTGAGATGGCCTGGTAAGCAAAGAAAGTAAAGATCCCATTTTATGCCTTAGGCGCAGCGGGCATATGGGAAGAGCACCTAGTATTTTTACAGACCAATTGGCACTAGGTGGGTAATGTGGTCAGCATTATGCCAGCCGTCTTTACTTCCCCAGGACAGCCATCCTTGTACCCATTTTAGGCTGGGACGACCTGCGACGCCCTATACCCCGATAAAAATCCACACAACCAGCAGTGGGTTTCGATCGCGGTACGGTACGTATGGCCTGATAATGTCTGCGATATGGGAGACACAAATCAGACAAGCACAGGACTAAACCTATCTTCACAGGAAGTCATTACTGGGATTATTTGAAGGGCACCTTAAACCTTAAATTTTGATCACATGTCAAATTTTTTTTTTAAATTAGAAAACTGGAAACGTGAGTTGATCAGAAATGTGGCAAATATTCAAGTACATCACAGTCTCTCTCTTTCTGTTTCAGACATCTTGCTAGGTGTGCGTGTGTACATAAACAACACACAGTATGTTATATCTCTGATACGTGATTACAACTTCTCTTCTATCAGCCATTACCTCATCAAAGCACATGTGTGTGTGGGTTGGGGGGGGGGGGGGGGGAGATTGTCTTCTGTATGCTCTTTCTAATGCACTGTATAAGTCAATCCATATTTCTTTACAGCTGTTCTTGATTCCAGTCTTCTATCATTTGTCTGGTCTTCTACCGATTCTTCTTCTGCATTCATCAAAAGATGTATTTGCGCTGTGCCCATTTACAGCGTGGCTGCGATATTTGCTCCTTTTGGCCAACACATCTGACTTCCACAGGCATTTGATGACCCGGTTAGCTTTACCGATTCTGTGTTGATTATATGTCTATAGCATGGTTATTGGTACCAGGTCCTTCCTGTCAGATGGTCAGACCATCTTAACTGTTGCCTTTTAATAAGTTGTATCACTGATTCAGTCCTACTCTTGCGATGCCTTCATTTTGAATATTATCTCTTCCTGTTGCTCTAGCAGTTGTTTTAAGACATTGCATCTCTGTTGTTATGATTTTGTGCTCATCAGTTGTAGTTCCTTACCAAGCCCTCATTTGGACACCACAGGGAAAAAGATCTTGTGGAAGACCAAGGGAAACCCTACGTAGAACTATCATCAGGGAAGGCTCGCTCATGGGCCACTCAAACATCCAAGACCTACAACAAATTGCAACGAGCCGCCATGCATGGAGAGTCATGACCTCTGCCCTATGTGCCGCACTCGACACAAGAGGAAAGACTAACTAACTAATTTGTAGTAAGGATACATCTCTGATTAAGGCAAACTAAAGTCATCTGTCTAGAGAATATATGTCAGCCCAGAGTATAGAGCATCTTGCATCTGTAACAGTAATTCATGTACACTTGTTGTCCCCTCTCTTAACTGTCCACTGTCAGCTTCTGCTGCAGAATGTTCTGGTAAAGTAAAGGACCCTCTCCACATCTTCAGGCCTACTGGGCATATAGGGCTAGGCCTATATTTTATAGACCTACTGGCACTTGGTGAATGATGTAGTCAACATCACCCCAGTCTCCTTTACTTCCCAGGACTTTACCTGGTACCCATTTTAGGCTGGCTTGACCGGCTCCAGTCTCATCACCATTAATAGTACAAGTGGTTTATGATGATGATGATGAGTCCGGCTCCGTACGAATGACCTTAAGATCAACACATGAGCGTCTACCCACTATACCATGGCAACTCCCAAAATGTTCTCACACTGAAAAATAAAAAAAATTTCACAATTTTACCCGAACCTGGAAAAGGAAAGACCATCTGATTAATGATGAAGTTTTGACCAATCAAACAAACAGTGACTAACATTTAAACTGCTGTATAAAATATTAATTACCATATTTGTATCCAGCTTTCTCAGCCCTATTAAAAAAACTTACAAAGAAAGGTGATAACACACACAAAATTACACGTGTATGTACCCAAAATACGAGTCCAAGTAGGACAAGCAGACGTCTTTAGAAACCCAGATATTTAAATAGGCAAAGTAAGCAATAACTCCCACACAAATGCCGCACACTACATCGAATATATGATGGCGACCGAGGAGAATCCTGGACATGCACACACTAACGGCCCAGATAACGACGGCGGCCATGTACAGTTTATTTGTGATCATGTGTTGGCACAGAAACAAGGTCATCATGACTGCCCGCGTGGCATGTCCTGACGGAAAGGAAAACTTGTCAACAGAAGGTGCTATGAAAATGTCCATGATGTTGTGGCTGGGTCTTCCTCGGCGAAATGTCATCTTCAGCAGCCCAACAATAATTAGGTCAAAGATCAGAGCTGAAAGGAAACAAGACAAAGTTAACAGAAAATCAACTGCTAACTATGATCTCAAAAAAATGAGCACAATGAGAATAACACTACTGCCTGTATCTATGTATCATAAATAGGTCTCGATGCCAAGAAGTTTGTGCACTGTACTCAGAAACTCCATGTCCGATATATGGTTATCCCAACCAGTAGCACATCAAGAGAAGGAAGATAAATCCAGTATGTAACCCATGTGCGTGTGTGGGTGGAACAGATCCACTTTTCCCTAATAAACATGTCAAAACAGTAAACTAATTAGGGATGTGCTGAAATTCAATGTGTCTGACTGAGAAATGAAATATTTACATACTTTGCTAGATGTAACGAGGAAAGATCAACGTAGGGACGATGACATCGGGAGGAGAGTCAGCAATACTGAACCAACACTGAACTTTATAGGCAGACAACAAACCAAATGGTTTGGTCATGTAACCAGACTGGCATCAGACAGGGCCCACAGAGAGCAATGTTATACAGATACAGCGGTAACAGAACCAGAGGTCAACCACGCAGAACACGGACCGCAGAAGTATCAGAGACACTGAAAAGTACTTTTTATAAAGCAAAAAGAATGGCCCATTCCAGAGATCTCTTCCTGCCGTGACGTTACGAGGCAGCCCAGACGTAGAGACAAGAGGAGCAGAAGACAGCCTAGCTGTCAGCCCTAACATGACATACCAACTGCTCCTTTAAGAGTAAACAAAAAAAGAAGTATTACTTATAAAAACACACAGCAACACTGGCTGCTTGTGCCCAGGACTAAGATGTTCCCTGTCCTTTCCTGTTCTTGTCACAGCACCAACTTTATTCATAATATGTGTATGGTACATACAGAGTGAAATAGATGTTTAGAGTTCTCACATCACAAAACATGAATATTCATAATATTTGTGCTTCTTTTGGTATACACACACTGAGATTCTTGTGTGAATGACCTTCAACCCCATGAGTGATAAATACCCAGTGATACAAACTGCCACTATTTAAATGGACCCCCCCCCCCCCTTAACTGTTAGGTTATATTAGGGCCCTCAACAACAGCCGGGGGTGGGGCTTTATTGAAAAAAAAAAATTGCTTCAGAATACTGGACCGGATGTAAAATGATTGAGATCTTATCTAGTAGTTCATGCAATACGATGAGACCTCTGTATAGAAAAGACTATGCACTGCTACAGCCCAGTAAAACTGGACACTGGAAAACTAGACCATAGATACCAACCAATAAGACAGCAACAAATAAATAATTTTGTTTATAGCATTATTCGGTCATATCCGACTGAGTTGATGTGCCACAAGAGCAGGTAACCTAAGGCTTAAAAGTGTAGTGTTTTTTCAAAGCATTTACGTCTCCCTCCTTGTTGAAGTAGTCTCCGTTGACTCAGCTGATGTGCCACAAGAGCAGGTAACCTAAGGCTTAAAAGTGTAGTGTTTTTTCAAAGCATTCACGTTTCCCTCCTTGTTGAAGTAGTCTCTGTTGACTCAGCTGATGTGCCACAAGAGCAGGTAACCTAAGGCTTAAAAGTGTAGTGTTTTTTCAAAGCATTCACGTCTCCCTCCTTGTTGAAGTAGTCTCTGTTGACTCAGCTGATGTGCCACAAGAGCAGGTAACCTAAAGTCTACAAGTGTAGTGTTTTTTTAAAGCATTCACGTCTCCCTCCTTGTTGAAGTAGTCTCTGTTGACTCAGCTGATGTGCCACAAGAGCAGGTAACCTAAGGCTTAAAAGTGTAGTGTTTTTTCAAAGCATTCACGTCTCCCTCCTTGTTGAAGTAGTCTCTGTTGACTCAGCTGATGTGCCACAAGAGCAGGTAACCTAAGGCTTAAAAGTGTAGTGTTTTTTCAAAGCATTTACGTCTCCCTCCTTGTTGAAGTAGTCTCCGTTGACTCAGCTGATGTGCCACAAGAGCAGGTAACCTAAAGTCTACAAGTGTAGTGTTTTTTTAAAGCATTCACGTCTCCCTCCTTGTTGAAGTAGTCTCTGTTGACTCAGCTGATGTGCCACAAGAGCAGGTAACCTAAGGCTTAAAAGTGTAGTGTTTTTTCAAAGCATTCACGTCTCCCTCCTTGTTGAAGTAGTCTCTGTTGACTCAGCTGATGTGCCACAAGAGCAGGTAACCTAAGGCTTAAAAGTGTAGTGTTTTTTCAAAGCATTTACGTCTCCCTCCTTGTTGAAGTAGTCTCCGTTGACTCAGCTGATGTGCCACAAGAGCAGGTAACCTAAAGTCTACAAGTGTAGTGTTTTTTTAAAGCATTCACGTCTCCCTCCTTGTTGAAGTAGTCTCCGTTGACTCAGCTGATGTGCCACAAGAGCAGGTAACCTAAAGTCTACAAGTGTAGTGTTTTTTCAAAGCATTCACGTCTCCCTTCCTTGTTAAAGTAGTCTCCATTGACTAAGCTCAAGTTGATTAATGACAAAGCATCTCCACGTGTTACAGTCTGAAGCCTTTTACTTTCAGGTTGTTTTTTATGCCCAATATTTTGACCATCTCAAATCTGGCATGGCTTTCAATTGTTACTATGCTCAAATAATCTTACCATTTGCCATATTTTTCAATGCAGAATGTATATTAGAATATATTCATTAGGAATTACTGATTAGTGAGGATTATTATCACAGTACTCCGGACAGATCCACATGTGCTCTGATTTCATTCCTCAGATGCTTCACAGGTGTAAAAATACTAATGATGCCTGTTCTGTCGAGTAATCAAAGATCTGATCCCTTTGGTCAAATGCTCCTCTCTTGCCTCCAGGTTGCACCCCCATGTCCATCAGTTTGAACATGAAAATGTCATACCCTTTCCTGTATTTGTCTTCATAAGAGCTGTGCATGGTATTGATAAAACTGCTTTTGTCCAGTACTGGACCAGCCATAGTATAGGCATGCTCGTTGCCTCAAAACCCCTCATGATCTGGCACAAAGATAAAGGTTAGGCCAGCCATTTGTGAAGTGCCGTGATACAATCCACAATACAATGAGGCATACAAACCACTGCTGCTATCTAATGAATATGGTCATGTGACCAGAATTCAAAGTTGGTTACTTTCCCTTTCCACTTTATCTTTGCTATAGTAGCCCAGGAACGTCATGACTGTCTCATATACTGCCAAACCTTTCTGATGCAAATTCTTCCACGCTACAGTGCAAGACTATTCAAGAGAAACCAAGACAGGCATCACAGAACATCAGGCATACCCTCAGAGACATAAGTAAAAGGTTTTGTGTTTTTTTATTTTGTGGGACAGAGAAAAAAAAAAGACTCATATAAGAGAGCATCAATGTTTTATGTGGACTATGTGGAAGAGACTACCACTCCCACTGGACTTCACAAACATCTTTCCCAAAACCAGTGGCACAACACCATGGCCCCTAGGGACTGATGGTTACCTACTATACGACACAAGTAGTTCAGAGAGGGCTGACAACAGAAGCTGCATATATTAAAGTAACTTACCAAAGAACAAATTCACAGACACCTCAATGTCCTCCGACTTGTGCGAAAACAAAAACAGCAGTACAGCCCCAGCAATCCAGGGCACGCCATGACAGCTTATCTCCAGGATCTTCATCAGGGGCCGCAGGTTGCCCCAGGTGGACTCTTTGGTGGCACAGACAGCCAGGTGGCAGGTCATGCGGTGATCCACAGCCAGGAACGAATCCCAGAGAGAAAAACAAGCTGATCTGCATACCTCTGCTGCTTGTTCTACTTCTGAGGAGTTAGTTTCCTCCAGTTTTTGTACAATAGGCCGCTTTCTCATTGTCAATAATTTTGAGGTTTTTCTGCAGAGAGGGTATCTGAAAAAGTAGAGAAATTAATGTTTGGATGGGAGGCGGGAAATACAAGAGTAAGAAAGGAAAGAAGGAAATGATGTCAATAGAGAAGAGCACAAGTGAATGCAGTTTAGGATTGTGCTACAAAACAGAAAACAAACTGGAGAAAAGAAATCAATCAGTTATTACCTTTAAAATGAAGAACTATGATCCTTGTGTGGGGTCCAGCTCCTATACTGAGTGACTCATGCTAGGACTCCATCACTAGGGCTAAATGCAAATTATATGCTCAGGTGGCTGGAGGATGCAGGATGGGAAAGTCCCTGAGGACACACTCTACAGTAAATTCAGATGGGAAGTGCAACTGGGACATGAATGATGCAGGTTACTGAGGTGGATTCATAGGAACAAAATGTCATGGACCATGTTGCATTGAGTGGGCACATCAGGAAGGGAAGGAGAAAGAATGAATAAATGATTACAGAAAGGATGACAGTTGAGCGTCTGAGGAAAAAAACATTGACACAAACTTTGACAATGATCCTGAAATCCCATGCTATAATTGTGGAAGATTGTTATTAATGCAGGCGAGTCTTGCTAGTCACATTCATGATCACCATGGGGCTGTAAGTCTCAAGCCTCCTCACAGAATAGTATAACACTTTCATCTGGAAAGATGCCCACAGTTTATGTGACAATCTGCACTGTTTGAGAACCACTGCTTCTGACCAAGTTAATAGAAACAACCCAGATCAATAAAATGTCATAAATATGCAGATAAAACCTTTAGTAGTCAGCAGAGGTGACTGTCACCACCATTTAGTGTTTATGAAATAACATGAAAGTCAAAGGATAAACTTGTTATATACTGAATGGAAAACTGAGGGACCTAGAAAACACGCATCCAAGAGAAGCAATAAAGCAAACACTGATGAGAGAAGCCAAAGCTGCTGGAATGGATTCCATCCATGATACTCAAGGGACTGCACAGGATTGACTGAAATGGAAGAATACAAATGGAGAAATAGACTGACAGACCTATGTGACAGATAATGGCACATATGGATAATAAATGAATTAATATTTATATTTGCATATAAATTTCTACTGCTGTCATTTTGCTGCTGTTGTTGATGAACTCGATCAAGCCAAGTAATTAAATATTGCATAACTTGGCTAACGGTTTGCTCTGCTTCCACTATCCAGGATCGCCCTTCTCAGGACACTTACACTGATTCACACATATTCAGCTATGCATATGGCGTTTTATGTCAGCAGCAATAAACAGGTGCGTCGTCACCTGGGCCATCTTGTGTCTAATGACCATGTCTGGCAGGTCGAGGACATATCATATGGCCTGACATGAGGTGTGTCTTGTGCACCCGAGGACATATTGCATGGCCTGACATGAGGTGTATCTTGTGCACCTGAGGACATATTGCATGACCTGACATGAGGTGCATCTTGTGCACCCGAGGACATACTGCATGGTCTGACATGAGGTGTATCTTGTGCACCCAAGGACATATTGCATGGCTTGACATGATGTGTGTCTTGTGCACCCGAGGACATATTGCATGGCCTGACATGATGTGTGTCTTGTGCACCCAAGGACATATTGCATGGCCTGACATGATGTGTGTCTTGTGCACCCAAGGACATATTGCATGGCCTGACATGATGTGTGTCTTGTGCACCCGAGGATCAGTCTCAAGGCCTCCTTTTGCACTTTATCTAGTCCAGCTAAGGCCTGCTAACTGTAAGGAGCCAAGCCTATGGTCAATCACTGAGAGCAGCAAATCCTGATAAAGTGTAAATGGCAGTTTTTGTTCCACTTCATCCTAAGCGCAACAATGCCTTTGTTAGCTTTTATAATAACATCATTTACATTGACTCTTTGAAAGTGGATATCAAGATATTTGTGGTATAGCGACCTTCTGATATCATCTCCACACAAACTGACAATAGGCACTGGCATCTTGTCAGTTCTGCTGTTTGGTGAGAACCATGTCACTGTAGCCTTAGCTGTGTTTACTCTAGCCTTGAATCCTCTCACCATCTGGTGAGTCTGTCAAGTTCCTGCTGCAGCGATTTAGCTGTTCCCCCCTGTCTATACATCATCAGCAAAGATCCCACTGCACTCAGTCCCATATTTTGAATGTAGGTTACCCGTATTGTCAAAGATGACTAATTAGGGGTGTTCATTCTAAGCTGGAGTGCATCTGCCAGAGAGGTCTGAAACCAACAGTCTGCATACAAATAAGCCAGAAGTATAAAATGGGTGTGCATGCAGAATTCAAGTTATGAGTTTGATTATCTTCACAGCACTCTGGACACAACCATCGGTGCTCAGGCTCCCCTTTTAACATATTCATCAATGTCGCACATTTAATAGCGCGAGTCTTATGCTGGTTGACAAGATTCTGTGTGCGTCACGTGCTTGCTGTGCTGATCTTTACTCCTAATTCCAGTATTCTAAGCAGTGATGTGGACATGTTGCTTCTAAAATTATCAGAACGTCCTGTCTTTCTAAGGGCACTGACAAAGTCTGCTTGATCCATGGACCGACCATCTGCAATTAATGTAGAACCTGAAAGTCTATCAGCTCTTTCACTGCCAACAACACCTGAATATTCTGGGACAAACATGTCCTCATTTAACAGACCCATCTGTAAAGATCAGCACATCTGACTTTTCACCGATAAATGTGCAGACCTCGGCACTGACAGCAACAAGATTTTGCTCTGACAACTCCTATCAAGCATCAGGACACAGGAGAAGGTGAGACTGAGAGCTTTTGGCACTGGTATCCATTCCTCACCAGGATGGATGTCTGTAAGACTGCAGACCTTGAACTAGAACAAAACCAAAGTCAAGAAATGGATGAAGAACCAGAACTTTCTACCGGAGTTTACAGCCGGTGAACCTGAAGAAGAAGAAGAAACCAGTGTGTCTGCCTAGGATGACCTATGTAGAGATGAAGTGAGGTCTGAAGAATAAAGCTGACCTTGAGTCCATCGGCTTTCTTTATTTCTACTCTTCTCTTTTTTTACTTTAGCTTACCAATGCAGCACAGGAAAATGTCTCACCCCAAGCCATCTGTGACTAGTTCATGACTGGTCAGATTTGGCCACAGTTTTGTATTGGATCATGTGGCCAGTCTCAATGCAATTTTTATTATTTGCTTTTAATGACATGCCAGACAGGCTCAAGTTTTGCCATTTTAGTTCTAAAAAAAAAGACTGATGTCTCATTCAGTAAAATTCAAAAAGTGCAGATGTTTTACTTCTATTCCTCCCTCTAAAAGTGTACTTAAAATTTAAATGCCAATAATATTATTAAGTTGCAGAAATTGTTTTTAATCCTCAGGAACTTGTGAAATTTGTTTTCATTAAAATACATAATGAAAAAGCACAATGCAGTGAACATTTTTTCAGGACAAATTAAGAAATCAGAAATTCATATAAATTTCCTGACCACCAACTAATAGAAACAATCAAACTAAAATAGGCTCAGTTTCATCAGCATGTTTGCATCTGACAGAAATTCATTTTGAAAAGATACAAACAATAATCTAGTTTGGCAAGATTAAAATGAAACAAACCCTAAACACAGAAAACCACTGCATAGCCAGTGAGGTCAAAGTCAAGTAAGAGGTAATAGCCAGTGAGGTCAAAGTCAAGTAAGGTAATAGCCAGTGAGGTCAAAGTCAAGAAAGAGGTAATGGCCAGTGAGATCAAAGTCAAGTAAGAGGTAATAGCCACTGAGGTCAAAGTCAAGTAAGATGTAATAGCCACTGAGGTCAAAGTCAAGAAAGAGGTAATGGCCAGTGAGATCAAAGTCAAGTAAGAGGTAATAGCCACTGAGGTCAAAGTCAAGAAAGAGGTAATGGCCAGTGAGGTCAAAGTCAAGTAAGAGGTAATGGCCAGTGAGGTCAAAGTCAAGAAAGAGGTAATGGCCAGTGAGATCAAAGTCAAGTAAGGTAATAGCCAGTGAGGTCCAAGTCAAGTAAGGTAATAGCCAGTGAGGTCAAAGAAGTAAGGATATAGCCAGTAAGGTCAAAGTCAAGTAAGGTAATAGCCAGTGATGTCAAAGGCAAGTAAGAGGTAATGGCCAGTGAGGTCAAAGTCAAGTAAGGTAATAGCCAGTGAGGTCAAAGTCAAGTAAGAGGTAATAGCCAGTAAGGTCAAAGTCAAGTAAGGTAATAGCCAGTGATGTCAAAGTCAAGTAAGGTAATAGCCTGTGATGTCAAAGTAGGAGGTAATATCCAGTGAGGTCAAAGCCAAGTAAAGTAATAGCCAGTGATGTCAAAGTCAAGTAAGGTAATAGCCAGTGATGTCAAAGTCAAGTAAAATAATAACCAGCGATGTCAAAGTCAGTCAAAATCCCATTTTATCTGATCACCCTTGCAACCTCTTAAACCTTTACTACAACCAATGAATGGTAATCTTTTCTGGCCACCATTGTAGTGACTGATATTTTAGAAGAAATCATAGAGGAATAAAGAGATAAGTTAAAAAAAAAAAGATAAGAAATTAGAAAAAAAAAGCGATAAAAAAAACTTACAATTAATTAAAAAACAGAATAAATGGTCTGGCCAACTGACAAGAATGCACCGGTACTGGCTACTACAGATGGCCACACTAAATATACAGAGTACAGATCAAGCAGGAACATAACAAAGATCATCTACAAGGAGTAGTGCTACTGAGATTAGCCTGGAAGAACTGAAGACCAACTTACACAATGCATGAAGAATAAATAGAAGATCTTTACTTACAACCCCCCCCCCCCCCTTTTTTCTTTTCAATATTCACTGAGTTAAACTGACAAAGAAAAGAACTGTTAACAATGAAAATAAATTGCATCTCAATTTTGTTATTAATTTAGAAGAGAAAACATCAACTTACAAAGTTTGAAGAATGAATAAATTATAGTCATATATTAAAAATACAAATGAAATCTCTACTCACAGTACTGAGTGTGT